TTGTCTATGTCTCCACATTAAAATAGTTCCATCACACACTTCGGTTGAGTTTTCTGTGAACTTTGACATTTTATGATAAATTTTCATAAAAAGCAATGTCACCGCTTATTGAAATAGCTTTAAAGTGGTATTAGAAATTGTCGTACAAATTATAGAAAACTGTAGTTTGCCAATTTACTATAAGTGTTTGTTTTTTTTCGTGGCCCCATGACTAATTGCCGCGTTATTTGGGGCGTGCTGGGAAAGTGCATTCGCCACTTACCCGACCATTGACCCAGATCATGCGGCGTCCACTTGTGGTGCCGTGCTCCAGTTCGATGCGATACATCTGGGAGCGAGCAGACAGAGAGAGAGAGAGAGAGACGGAGAGAGAGCGAATGAAAGTTAATTAAATGCTAATCAACATGCAGCGGGGCTTAGATTGTTTAGTGGGAATTGATTTGAACCTTGCCATTGATGGGCGCACACCATTGGGCGACAATGTTGTCTTTGTTGTAGCGCTGCGCCTCGGGCACATGATCCAGACTCATGATGGGCACCGTTGACAGATTTTCCATGCGCAGCGTTGGCGACAGAAACGACATGGCCGGGCCGCCGCTAAAAACTAAAAATCGATTTCACTTAATAATATTCCAGGATTTCGCTTTCAATATATATTTTGTAGTTAATGCATTCAAAATGCAAGCAACACAATGCAAATCAAAATCGTCGATTCGAATCTCAATTGAAATGCCAAGTGATTTACGCCAATAGCTGTTATAGTTAGGGCCTATTAAGAGCTTTACACTTGGCCCAACTAGTTGTGCTACGTTTATTTTTATATATATATGTATATATTTTGTCAGCGCTTTGGCGGCGGCAGGCAGGCAACGCGAACCGTTAGCATTCAGCGTCAATGGCACACTAAACAACACACAATAATGGCGAAGGAACTGAAGAAAATTTGTATAGTTGTTGTTGTTGCTACTGTTGCTGTTGTTGCTGTTGCTGTTGTTGCTGTTGTTGGCCCCGCGTCTGGTCGGTTTCTGGTCGAGTTGCGTTGTCGATGGCTCTTTCTGTTGTGGCTAGAAAAAGTGCACAGCCAAAGCCGGAGCCACAGCCAAAGCCGGAGCCACAGCCATAGTCAGAGTCAGAGTAGGGCTGAGGAGCACCGCATGGCGCCAAAACAGAGTTGATTTGTTTCACTTTGAGTGTGCGTGTGAGTGTGTTGATGTGTGGGGCTAAGCCCCACTTCTGTTCTCTTTATGGTGTATATATATATGTGTGTGTTTGTGTGTGTTGACTATGTGTTAACATTTGCACACATGTCGCCGACGTCGTCGTCGACGTTGAGCATAAAAATAAACTTTACTTTTTGAACAGACCCCAAGCGCCGGCAACTATGCAATCGTTATGGCCCTAGCCAAGTGGGTAGCTTAACTATTTAATGCGTTTGGCATTGTGCCAAGACATAGCCGCTTTAGTAGTCAACAAAATATTGGCAATCATCAATCAATTGAAAGCCTCATGACAAAAGCGAGAAGAAAATAAAAACTAATCTATATAATTAAGTGATTTCGATGACATATTGATATACCCTGGAAATATACTCAAGCAAGCTGTGGCTGGATGCGTGAAAAGGAACTGTAGTAGAGATTAAGTTGATGAAGAGCAAATTGCGGAGACACGTGGAACGTGGGAGCTCGATCATGTATATGATATATGGAAATAATCTGTTAAAATGCTAAAAATTATTTATTTTATAGCCCATGGAAAATGCAATATCATGCTAGAATGTTTTTTTTTTTTTTTTTTAACATTTTTTAAACATATATATTCATATATTTTGCATATCATTTTGATTTTTCGTAAATTAAATTAAATGTTTTTTTTTCTGATCATTTTTTAAATATATACATGCATAAATATTAAAATATACAATTTTGATTTTTTTTTCAAATTTAAAAATAATTAATTAATATTGAATTAATTATTTTAATATAGTAAGATGCATAACTAGTATTATAATTAATAAATAATTTAATATACCTTTTATTATAATTTTTATAATTTATAATTATATGAATTTACCTAATATTATATACACATATTAATATAGCTAATAATATATACAATTTTATTATAATTTTTATAATT